ATAAAAATAAAATAAAATAGTGCCATAGGAAGTCCTGTTGGAGCTGTGAGAAGGGAGCAACTGCGTCCCCCCTCTATGCTGGTGGAGAAGGTCCGGTAGGGGGCAGCAGAGAGCCAGTGCCAGGTGGTTGTGGGGCAGGAAGAGGTGCGGTGTTGCTGTGTAAACCCAACTTCATTCGGAGCCTCATTTTCCCCAGCTGTGAAATGGGAGTAATAACTACCCTCCTCCCAGGACTCGTGAGGAATAAAGGGGACAACCCGTGTAGCCTTAGGCACCCTTCCTGGAAACGGTAATCATAATTTTTTAAAAAAATTCTCACCCAAGGATATTTTTTCCAGGGATTTTTAGAGAAAGTGGAAGGAAGGGAGGGAGGGAGAGAGAAGCCTCGACATGAGAGAGACGCAGCAATTGGTTGCCTCCCCCCCACACTGGGACTGGGGCACCTGCAGCCCAGGGATGTGCTCTTGGCAGGAATGGAACCCGAGACCCCTCGGTCCTCAGGCCGAGGCTCTATCACCGAGCCAAACCGGTCAGGGCGAACACGGAGTCATTACTGCCACTGGCTTCAAGTTCTAGTCGCAGTTACCGGGCAAACTTGAAAGTTAAAAAAACCTGGAAACATTTGGAGTTTTAAATTTTTCTAAAAGTCGAGTAGGAAAGAGGAGCAGAGAGGGCCCTGGGTCACAGAACCCTGGCCGCCCCAGGACTGAGAAGAGGGGGGTGCCTGGGATGGAGGCAGTGGAGGAGGCGAGGGGAGGGGAGGGGAGAGCCGCAGGGGGAGGCCCCAGGCACTGCAGGCTGCAGGGAGCGGATGTTGAAGCCCTGGGGTGGGTTGTTCGGGCTCCTGTTTAGACGTGTGTGCGTGGTCCTCTCTTCCTGCAGCCCTGGGCCCCCTCTCCCCGTGCTGCTGGTCCTGGCCCTGAGGCTCCAGCCCGAGGTACCTCCTCCAGCATCTCCTGCTTCAGTGCCGCCCGCGCCCTGCGCAGCCTCTCCTAGGTTTGGGGCACCACAGGGCACCCTCTGTGGGAAGCCAGCACGGAGCCTCCCTTTCCCCTCTGCCCATCTGTCCCTCCCCGTCTCCTTGAGGTCTGCGGGTGCCAAGAGGAGCGAGGGTCCTCGGCAAGAGCAAGGCAGGCCCCCTCCAAACACGAGCTTCTCAGAGCGCTGAGGGCGGGCCAGGGCAGAGGGAGGGCAGAGCCCAGGGAGCCTTCACAACTCAGACGACACCCAGGGCCCGGCTCTGCTCCAGGGAAGGTGCTAACCACCCTCTGGGATGTGGGGCCAGAGATCTGCTGGGCTGACCCCACCTCCTCCCGCAGAAGGAGATGGAACTCAGCTGTTGGCGGTGCTGCTCCTGATGATAAGAATGAAAACAGGGTGTGCTCAGCACCTGTGTGTCCGACGCGGCTTCTCGCTCATGTTCTCCCCTAACGTTGGTGATAACTCTGAGATGAGCATTAAGCTGCTTTCCAGACGCGAGGAAGGTGAACTCAGACCTGACGGTGGCCTTCAGGCTCCCCGCCCCCCACCGCCCCCGGGCCCGCTCCCCCCGCTCCCCGCTGTCCGACGAGTCTCCCACCCCGAACACCCTTCCCGAAACCACCAGCGCCTTCCCCTTCGGGGATCTCATGCCCTGGCTTCCCCACCTGGGAGCACTTCTCCCTTCCTTCTTAGAGTAGCCACCGAGTCCCTCCTTGCTAGCTTTGCACATTGCACCCCGGGTGCCAAGAGATGGTCGTGAACCACATTCCGCCTTCTCGGTGAGATG